TCCTCCACAACTAGATTGAAGAACAAAACGACAGCAACTTGTCTGTTCCCCTTCCCCTAATTCCCCAGCACTGTTCCCCCCAATTACCCAATAAAAATCTTAAAAAAAAAAAAAAGATTAGTGAACTTGAAGGTATAACAATAGAAACTACCCAAAATGAAACACAAAAAGTGAATTTATAAAAAAGAACAAAATATATAATTAGAGCGTCTGGAGGATATGAAAGAAAGGTAGGAACAGAAAGACTATTGGAAGAAATAATGGTGAAAATTTGTCCAATTTCATGAAAAGTATACCTACAGATCCAAGAAACTGAAAAAATCCCGAGCAGAAGAAACCATACCAAGGAAACTATACCAAGTCATGTCACAATAAAATTCAAAATGATATAGGGATCTTAAAAACAGCAAGAGGAAAAAAAAACTCATGTTTTTTTTGTTTTTCATGTTCATGAAAAGCAAAGATAAAAATAACAACACACATTTCATGGGAAACAATACAAGTGAGAAGAGAGAGGGCAACATTTTTAGAGGATTGAAAGAAAAAAAGCTAACTTAGTAATAGCCAACAAAAGTATCTTTAAGAAGTGTAGATGATAAATGATGTTTTCAGATATGCAAAGATTAAAAACCTCATTACTGGCACACTCCCACTACAAGAAATATTAAAGGAAGTTCTCTAGGCTGATAAAAAATAATACCAGATGGAAATCTGTATCCAAACAAAAGAATTAAGAAAAGAAAAATTGTGTTTATCCTATAATTTCATAAATATTAAATTTTATTATTTAAATATTTTAAAAAGATAATGGGCTATTTAAAAATAATAATGTGGGATTTATAACATATGCAAAAGTAGAGTGTATGACAGCAAAGTACAAATGTTGGGGGAAGAGAAATGAATGTATACTATCAAAATTTCTTATAATGTATGTGCAGTGGTATATCACTGGAAGGTAAACTATGATAAAAATAAAGATGTATGACATAAACTCTACAGCAACCACTAAAAAACAAAACAAAGAGTTTCTGTTAAGTCAAAAAAGGATACTAAATGGAATCATGAAAAACATTTAGTTAAAAAGAAAACAGGAAAAGAGGGAAAATGTAACAACAAATGGGACAAATAGAAAACAAAAATGAAGAAGGTGGTAGATTTAAACCTAGCGATGTGAATAACCATACTAAAAGTAGGTGTTCTAAATAACCCAAAAGCAGAGATTGTAAAAGTATATACTTGCAAGATGCAAGTATATGCTGCCTAAAAGAAAACAATTTAAAAACAGATAGAAATAGTTTAAAAACTAAAGTAAAAAGATATAGAAAGTTATAAGTACTAGTGTTTAGATAATACAAATCTAAAGAAAGGGAAAGTGGCTTTTTCTTTCCAACTTGGGCCTGGCAGGATGGCTCCCGCAAAGAAGGGTGGCGAGCAGAAGGGCCGTTCTGCCATCAACGAGGCAGTGACCAGAGACTACACCATCAACATTCACAAGCGCATCCATGGAGTGGGTTTCAAGAAGCGTGCCCCTCGGGCACTCAAAGAGATCCGGAAATTTGCCATGAAGGAGATGGGAATTCCAGATGTGCACACTGACACCAGACTCAACAAAGCTGTCTGCACCAAAGGAATAAGGAATGTCCCATACCATATCCGGGTGCGGTTGTCCAGAAAGCGTAATGAGGATGAAGATTCACCAAATAAGCTCTATATGTTGGTTACCTATGTACCTGTCACCACTTTCAAAAATCTACAAACAGGGCCGTCCGAGTGGCGAGATGGTTAAGAACTGGTTTGGGATGCCAGAGGGCCCCGGTTCAGATCCCACATATGAGGGCCAGTGACACTGCCCTCCACAGCTAAGATGCTGAACTACAGCTCGACCTGGAGCTGGGCTGCCATGAGTCGCAGGCCCCTGTGGCAGTGGGTTGCCATGGGCTACCGTATGTAGCCAGCAGCCAGCATGAGCGGCCAGCAGCTGCAGTGAGCGGCCGGCCGTCCAGAAGCCGGCGATTGATCTGCCTCACCCGGGAAGAGCGCAATGATGGTGCCAACTTGGGCCAGTGAAGCGACATCCTCCACAACTAGATTGAAGAACAAAACGACAGCAACTTGTCTGTTCCCCTTCCCCCAATTACCCAGCAGTTTCCATCCCCCCAATTCCCCAATAAAAATCTTTAAAAAAAAAAAAACTACAGTTAATGTGGATGAGAACTAACTGCTGATTGTCGAATAAAGTTATAAAACTGCGAGAAAAAAAAAGAAAGTGAAAGTGGCTATATTAATATCAAGATAAAGTAGATGTCAGAAAAGAATATTACCAAAGATGAGAAAAAGTCGTAATGATAATGAGGTCAATTCATCAACAACAAGTAAAAATCCTGAACATTTATGTACCTATTAACAGAGCTACAAAATACATGAAGCAAAAAACTGATACAAGAGCAAGAAGAAATAAATGCAGAATTAATAGTCATAGATTTCAATATCCCTCTCTCAATAACTGATAGAACATGGAGACAAAAAAATCAGTAAGAATATAGAAGATTTGAACACAATCAACCAATTTACCTAATAAATATTAGGTAACAGTAACAGAATACATTCTTTTCAAATATACAAGATGGATCATATTCTTAGCCATTAGAAAGTGAACAAAAGGGTTCAAGTCATACAAAGTATATTCTCTGACCACAATGGAATTAAATGAGAATCAATAACAGAAAGAGCTCAAAAAAATCCCCAAATGTTTGGAATCTAAATTGTGCACTCCTGTATAACCCATAGGATAAAAACAGAAAGAAATTCAGAATTATTTTGAACATAATGAAACTGAGACTACTACATATCATTTTGTGTGTGTGGTATTCTGCTAAAGCAGTACTTAGGGGAGACTTATAGTACTAAATACCTATATTAGAAAGAAAGAAAGAAAAAAAAGTCTCATATCAATAATCTCAGTTTCCACCTTAAGTAACTAGAAAAAGAAGAGTGAATTAAATTCAAAGTAACTAGATGAATTAAAATAATAAAGACCAGAGAGAAATCAATGAAATATAAAACAGAAAAACAACAGAGAAACTCAATGAAACCAAAAGGTAGTTTTTTAAACAGATCAATAAAATTGATAAATCTCTAGCCAGGCTGACTAGGAAAAAAAAAAGAGAAATGACACAGCTATTGGATTGTCAGAAAAGTCATGACCGAGGTTGATGACAGCAAAATAAAGGCATTGATGAAGTCAAACCCATGTTACATGACACGAGAGATTGCAGAAACATTGAACATCCATCACTCAAGCGTTCACGACTACCTGAAGAAGCTGGGATACGTAAGTAAGCTCAATATTTGGGTTCCTCATGAACTCAGAGAAGTTCATTTGACGGCGCGTATAAACATCTGCAATATGCTCATTAAACGTGAGGAAAATGATTCTTTTTTGAAGTGACTGATAACTGGTGGTGAAAAGTGGATTGTTTACAACAATGTGGTGCGTAAACTGTCTTGTTCCCTACATGATGATTTTCCTCAATTGACATCGAAAGCAGACATTCATTGGAGGAAGGTTATGCTCTCAGTGTGGTGGGATTTTAAAGGTGTTGTGTTTTTCGAGCTCCTACCAAGGAACCAGACAATCAATTTGAATGTGTACTGTTGGCAATTGGACAGTTTGAACAAATCCATCATCCAGAAACATCCAGAAACATCCAGAGCTCATTAACCAGAAACATCCAGAGCTCGTTAACCGTAAAGGAGTTGTGTTCCATCACAACAACACGAGACCACACACAAGTTTGATCACCTGTCAAAAATTATTGGAGCTTGGATGGGATGTGTTGCCACACCCACCATAGTCGCCTGACCTTGCGCCATCAGACTTCCACTTGTTTCGCTCTCTTCAAAACTCCTTGTGTGGTATAATGTTCAATTCAGATGAGAATGCAAATCAGCACCCTGTTCAGTTCTTCGCAAATAATGACAGGTCCTTCTATGAGTGAGGAATTATGAAGCTCACTGAAAGATGGCAAAAGGTTATGGAATAAAACAGGCAATATGTCATTGATTGATCTTTGTTCTTTATATAAATAAATGACCTTTGAAAAACACAGACAAAATACGTCATGACTTTACCAACAACCCAATTTGTTCAACAGCATTAATCACTATGGAAATGCAAAATAAAACCATAAGAAGATACCATTATACTCCAATTATAATAATAAACTTCAAAAGACTGTCCTTATCAGCTATATGAATATATGGAGGATTTGGAATTCAGACACTGCTGGTGGGAATATAAAATGATATGAATACTTTGTAAAACAGTTGGCAGTAACTTAAAAGGTTAAACATATATGATGTAGTCATTTCACTCCTGGGCATTTCTTTAGGAGAAATTAAAACATTTGTCCACACAAAGATTAGTACACAAAATTAAGAACAGCTTTATTTGTAATAGTCCAAAACTGGAAACAACATAAATGTTCATCAGTAAGTGAATGAATAATCAAAGTGTGGTATATCCATGCAAATAGAGTACTACCCAGCAACAAAAAGAATGAACTATTAATACGTGCTACAACATCAATGAATCTCAGTGATGCCGAGTATAAGAAGCCAGACCCAAAAAAGAGTACATAGTGTATGATTCCATTTACAAAAAATTCTAGAAAATACAATAGATCAGTGGTTGCCTAGAGAAAGGGAATGAAAAGAGGGTCAGGAGGGAGGGATTACAATGAGGAAACTTTGGGGGGGTGATGAATATGTTCATTTTCTTAAATATGGTAATGGCTGCACAGGGGTATACATACATAAGTCAAGACTTATCAAATTGTACACTTTCTGTGCAATTCACTGTATGTCAACTATACCTCAATTAAGCTGCTTAAAAGATTAATGAACAAATATGAATAAATACATAAATATGCATAAATCAAAGACTTGTTTCTTACCAGTCATTCACACTAGTCAAGATAGAAAATGCTGATTTATTGGGACCTTACTAAAAACATCAATGAAAGCAAAGGAGACCCATTTGAATTGATTTTATTTTGTCTAAAATTAACCTAAAATATACTATGTGGTTTGTTTTCTAGAAACTCATTAAGAAAACAAGATATTGTGTTTCCAACAAATTACTTACAATAAAAAAAAATCAATATAGACTTTCTCTTGCCCGATAACTATATTAATTTTTTATCTATGATAATTCTAATCTAGTTTTGAGAGTCATTGGCACGGTGCAAATTTTCACGCACTTTGGTCTTATGTTTTACACAATCAAATAAGAATATTTATAAGAGTGAAGATCTTTCTATTAGTATTTGTGATTCAGATTGAACAGGATTGAGCATTTCTGGCTGCTTATGCCCAAACCCTACAGAAGCAGAGGTTACACTGTGGCAACTTGTTCCCTGGGAGCTGCACCCAATATGTGTTATGGTCCTAATTTGTTCCAGTTGCAGTTGTATTCCACTCTGAAATTCAGTGTGTGAAAAATGGAAAAAGATTAGGCTGCTGGAGAGAGGGATAAAATAAGGTACATCTGGTTCTAGGATTTTTATTTCAAACAAAATAAAAAATTGCATGAGATTCTTGATGTTACTTTTTGTGAAGCCTGCTTGTTTTCCCAGGGGAGAAAACAAATCCCTCTTACTACCTTGTAATCTTTCCATCTACATAGAGTAAAAATATTCTTAAACTGAAGTAATTAGGCCAAGTGCCATCTTAACATGTAAAGTCTTTGGAACATATAATACACTTAAACAAATTCAGGTTTATCATGCTCAAATGCCTCATAAAAATTTACCAAGACCAAGTCTTCAGTTGATCTGTAAATTGATGTGTCAAATATGTTTACACATATTTTTAAGTGTGTATCTTCAACATTTAATCCCTTGTACTCTTATAAATATCCTTTGTTTCAAAAAAATTTTTCCGAACTGTCACAAAAACTATGCTGACAATGTGTGTCTTTACAGATTTGCTTTATCTGCATACAGGCATTCTCTAATTGTTTTATATCCAAATTTATGTAGTTGTCTTTCTTCACTCCCAAATATTGAAAGAGAAGCAGTGTGGTCAACAGCTCAAAAGTCTTTGAAATCAGAGCACCTGGGCTCCATCTCACACTAGCTCCAACCTTGGGCACTGTTCCTAACCTCTCTCTGCCTTTTTTTTTCAAGCAGTACGTAAGGATGCTATTCATAGGGCTGCTCCAAGGATTTTTAATTAAGGGAATGGGGTAAAGCTCTTCGCCAAGGGCCCAGCACATAGTGAGCATTCAAAAAAAAAAAAAAAAAACCAGGAGCTAACTTTGAACAGGTGTGATCAAAAAATACAGTGAATGTGTAAAATTTTTAAAATGTATTACCATAAAAGACACATTGCCATTAAGCCCCCTCAGAATACTCCCCCTCACTTCAAACACACTTATCCCATTGTTCTTGCCCCTTTCTGAAGCAGTTCTGGGGGTCCTCTTTCATGAGTATCTTTACTTCATCCTCCATCACGACAACGCTCCCTGTCACACATCGCTTCTGGTATAAGGCAATTTCTGTCAAATAAAAACTTTATGGTGTGTCCTCATCCACCTAATTCACAGGATCTGGCACCATGTAACTTGTGGCTCTTCCCCAAAGTCAAAATGATTCAGGACATCAAGGCAGCCAGGACAGTGCAACTAAAGACACTCACGAAAGAGGACGTCCAGAACTGCTTCAGAAAGTGGCAAGAATGATGGGATAAGCATGTTTGAGTCGAGGAGGAGTATTCTGAGGGGGTTAATGACAATGTGTCTTTTACTGTAAATTTTTTTTTAATTTAAACATCGACCATATTGTTTGATCACACCCCGTAAATTATCCCATTACAAGAGCAAAATGACTACAATGCATCCTAGTAGAAGTGAAATACTTAAGGATTGCCATTTAACTAAAAGGGATGTTTCTTAGAAAGGTAGAGAAAGCCTAAAAATAATAATATATTTAAAGTGAAAAGACATAGTTAAATTCCAACTTTGGTATGTTAGTCACATAACCAATTCTGGTTGATTATTGTATTCTAACTGTCCCTAGTCTGTAAAATGGACATGACCTATAAATGGTAGATGCTTGGTGAATACATACTGAGAGATTCAATCAAACATATTGTATACAACAGTGTTTTCTAGACTTTTATCTGATAGAATAAGATCCCTTTTGCTTTGAGGAAAAGCCATGAAATCGAGTGATATTTCCCAATTATAT